AAGTTACTTGGTATAGATGATACGCTACTCTCTACAAGTTTTATTGAGCTCTATTCAGTAATGATCGCTAAATTTAAGAACATTATCTCATTTGTTAACTCATGTCTCTTAGTGGTTATCCTCCAAGAAAAGGTTCAAAATTCTTTAGCTCACAAATGTTATTCTTCAAATTTTTTTTCCTTTTCCGGTTTTCAATTGAATAGCTGTTCCGTTCAGAGTTAACATTTTCACGAAAACCGCGAGAATTGACTAGGCAGGCTAAGATTGAGATGAGGGTCATGCGACAGTTGACACACCCTAATATCAACAGCTTTATGGGTAAGTTTATCAGCTACATCCCTTTTATTCTACGCAAAATAAAGATGGTAGTGCATCATTTAGGCATCATTGTTTGCCCCTATTCAATCTGCATTGTTCGGGAATTTTGCGCAAAGGGCTCCCTCATGGATATCCTACAAAACCGAGAGTTCAAGCTTGATCATCTGTACATCGCTTCTTTTGTCGAAGATCTCATCAATGTTAGTACTACTCAGTCATCTGTATTGAAACCTATGATAGCTTAATAGTAAATAGTGAATAAAAGTAATTATTTAGGGAATGGTGTACATACACGACTCAGAGCTGAAAGTTCATGGGAACCTCAAGTCGACGAATTGTTTGATAACATCACGTTGGGCACTTCAGGTTGCAGATTTTGGACATCATGAGATTCGAGAAGGTCGACAGTGGGAAAGTGAAGAAGCGAGGGTAATTAATTTCTCGAATCATAGTTTTATGAATCTTATAATGTTGTTTTTAGTGGATGAGTTATCTTTGGTGCGCGCCTGAATTGCTAAGGGAAAGTGAGCTGAAGCATTCCGTCAAAGGTATCGGTTTATCAAGAGTTTGCTTTGTTAGACAGAATGATCAGATTATCGAATGCTGGGCTTAATTACCCATTATTACAGGAACACAAAAAGGCGACGTATATGCTTTTGGCATCATCCTCCATGAGATTCTCACGAGACAGGGGCCTTTCCAAATTTTTGCTAAGAACGAAACTCAAGTTCCAGGTCAGTTCCCTTCAAAAGCCTGTTCTTTTTTCTGATGCTAAGCTTGAATAATATATGTTTAGTATTACTTTCTTCCTTAGCTTTTTATTGCTTCATTTCATTTTCTTTGTCTTGCTTCTTCTTCCTTCCCACCCTTAGACTTTTTGCAGAGATTGTTGCGCGTGTCGCTGGTGGCACCTGCAGCCGGCCAAATCTCTCCTGTATAGAGGGGCAAGATTATGTCACAGAAACAATGCGACTTTGTTGGTCAGAATATCCAGAGAATCGACCTGATTTCAAGAACGGTGTGCGACAGAGGCTAAAGCCAATGTTTGCTGGAATCTATAAGAGAAACATCATGGTATAATAGATTACAAATTATCAGCTCTTGGCTAATTACGGAACCTGCAGGACCATATGATGGTAATGATGGAGAAGTACCAGAATCAGCTGGAGGATTTGGTCGATGAGCGAACAGCAGAGTTGCGCGAGGAACAAAAACGAAGTGAACATCTGCTGCAGAGAATGTTGCCAAGGTTAACAAGCTTTTTACTAAACTTCACCCAAATATCTACAAAAGACTTATACATTTAATTTCTATTATTCAGAAGTGTCGCCCAACAACTTCTAAACGGTCAAGATGTTGTACCCGAGTCGTTTCCTTCTGTTACTAT